TGGGAACAATAGATGGCAAAAGAAGAAGGGGACGGCAGAGGATGAGGTGGCTAGATGGAGTCACTGAGGCAGTTGGTGTGAGCTTAAGTGGACTCCAGGAGATGGTGGAGGACAGGAAGGCCTGGAGGAATGTTGTCCATGGGGTTGTGATGGGTCAGACACGACTTCATGACTTCATGACAACAACAACAGTATCCTGAAATGCACACAGATAGCTGTAATAGTGCACAAAAAGGCAGCCCATGGTGACTTCAGCCTATGATACTGGAATGCATATGAGTGGTTCAGTGTGGTTGGGAAACTTCCTGGATTGACTAGAAGCCACTGTTGCCCATTAATAAGTTCTGCGAAAGGGTTGTAATTGGCCCTTAGGGAGAGCTGTCCAATTTGGAACTAATTTTCAGTAATAAGGGAGCGGTGTATGAATAAGGATAGAGATAACTTAAAGATGATCTGCTGAATATATGAGTTTGTGTTAACTCTGCAGTGTTACATCAGTGCCTGAAGTATGTGGTTGAGCTTGTGACTTTAGCTTTAGAAGTCCTTCCTTCAATTTCAGGCCAGTTAGTCAAGATGGCTGCTAAATGAGCAGGTGTGATAGGAAATATGCTGTGGCGTCAGTTTTTGCCAAAAAGAACATAAAGCTTTGGGTAACCAAATAATCCTAATCTGTGATTTAATATAAAATATGTTTTTATACATGTTTTGCCAGATTATGAAGAAAGCTGGAAGTTTGAATTGATAGACACAGCATTAGTTATTCCTTTGTGGATGAGGAAAAATGCTGTTTAAAAATAAGAAGGGAGCTGTTCTGTTAGTGGAGAACCACCCATGCAAGTGCTTGTGCCTGATTTTTGAAGATTTGAAGATGCACCCCAAGGACATCCAGACCCTTCAGACACACTAAAGTGTAACATTCTGGGGGAGCTGGAGGGGCTGCTTTGAGAAAGATGGAGTGGGGAAGTCTACTTCTAGTTGTGCCAAAATCTGGATCCAGTTTGGTGTGTGGATGAGGCTCACTGGGTTGTATCCAACACAGCTGCCACACTCCTGCTTATAGTGCTGTGTGTAAGGACCCCGTACTTATCCGAGGGAGTTAGAACTTCATAACACAGCACAGGCCAGTGGCACTCCCCTCTGCAAGCACCACTGACCTGCCTTATTCTGGAATCAGTGCTTCTGCTCATTTGGGATTGATTTAGCAATCACTAGCAGAAACTTCCTGCTTGCACGCAGGCAGCAGAGATTGCTACTCTGTGATGCTGGACTATCTGTATCTGGAGGAAACAGGAATACTGAATGAAAATCCAGTGTGCAATATTAGGATACAGCGTGTAGATCTTTCATTCAAAATCAATGTTGTTAAGCATTTGGGTAAGAACTGCAGTGTGTCTCAGTCATCTTTTAAATTCTTCATAACACATGAGGCATAAAGATTCCCTGCCACATGCAATTCCCTTAAAGAACATTAGGAGCCTAGGAGCTGGGGAAATACTGGAATAGTTAGTAAGCAAACATAATTAGAATTAGACAATACCACTTATAGTAGTGAAAAGCAAAGATCAGAAGAAAGACAAAAGTTGAGGCTGAAGAAAAGAGCTTTGAGGCTCATTTTCAAGAATCTGTAAGAGTCATGATATAGGAAATGCTTTCATCAGGACCAGCCAAAATGCCACAAGGACTGTGCACAACAAAAAGCAGAGATACCTGTTCTTCTCTTCCCTTCCCTTCTCTTCTCCTACTTTTTGTATCATGAAGAAAAATTTAGGAGAACCCAAAAACAGAGGTATCATTGTAGCATTTTGGTTGGTCCTAATAAAGGTGTTGCTTACCTGTAGATTTTGGAAACTGTGAAAATATGGCTGGAATCAGTTCATCTTTCCTGTAAGGGCAGATTCAAAGATGGAAAGAGGCTTTATGGATTAACTTGCAGATTATGCCAAACTACAGCCTGCTTTGTATCCTTAACAGAACCAACATATTGAATGTGCATGGCGTGTGTTTTATTCTACATCATTATCCCTGCATCTTTATCATCTGTTTGACTGTATATGACCCAAGGTCAGATAAGACAAGTGAATTCCAGGGAAACTGTAGTCTCAAGACTACATGAAACACGGAAGCATACTGGCATACCATTAAACAAGAACAAGGAGAAAAAAATCAGAGTAATTTGGTAGTTACAGGAATGTCAAATAGAATTTCAGAATGATAAAAATGTGGTATTTTATGTAAAAGCACATATTATAATTACTGGGTACTGAGTAATACTTAAACAGGTTCTAACTTTTGCCCTTACTTGTCTTCCTTCATTTTTGAGTGCTTCTCAAGGTAAACTCGGACTTATTGGTTCCAAGACCTTGCTGCTAAATGCTCATTAGAGAACGTTTAGGGCAAGAGGAGAAGAGGTGAACCTTTATGAAACACTGTGTGTAGATCAGTAAGTGAAGTAATTAAAGTTACCAATAGTAGAGTGAGTGTGGAAAATGTCACACTGGTGAAGCAAATGGACCTCTTTCTACTTCCTACATGATCCGTTTTGTTTCCTTCGTGACTATGTAGTGCAAAGCAATTCTACCAAGAGTGCAGAATAATCCCACTAACAGGGTGTTGATAGATGCATGTTAGCTAGAAGGCGAATGGGCTATCAGATAATATCCATCAAGTATGTCTCCCAGCTTGCTTGCAATGGCAGCCCATGGATTAAACAACCCATTACATGTGAACTGAACCAAATGAGTTTCTTTGTGTGATTGTGTCCATTTCATAGGCTCATTTTAAATGGCAGTGAGCAGAGAATCTTCCTAATAGAGATCTAGTGTCTTAATGTTGCTTAGAGAAGTTCTACATGCTGTTGAAAGGATTTCTTCAAGTGCAATGCATCTACAGATCATTTCTAACCTCGGTTTATCAGTAAGCGAATGAGATATCAGTTCTAGGGGTTAATGACAATATATTCAGGAAAACACTTGAGAACAGATTATATAACAGCTTTCCTGATGACATGTACTTCTTGCCTTAGAGATTATTGGGAAGTAGTTGGTGCTGTTTATATGAGATTGTAGAAATTTGCAAAGCAAACCTTTCATTAAACTGACATTAAATTTAGAAATGGCATATAATGAGAACAAAAGGCTATATTAACTTATATGACATTTTTCAAAGCTAGTTCTAAGGTTGCATGCAGTATTTTGATAGTCAACTAATTTACCAGACAACTCTGCATGTTGATTATCAATACTCAGTTACAGATTCTTTCTCCCTTCCCGTTCAGTTCCAATGTTTTGCATTTATTTATTTATTTGCTCAAAATAGTTCTGAAATTACTCTTCTGATCAGCTTTGTAGCGTGGAGTGACTAACTTATAAGAGTGACCTTGCAATTTATTTTAATAATTTTGATTGACTTTCTGACCCGATCCCAAGGGCTTCAGGCAATTTAGAATCTGGCATATTTCAATTTTAAATTTTCCTGTGTTGTAGTGTATAAGCGTGACATTGAATTGAGTTGCATACTATTAAGCAAGCTTGTGGATGAGTAGAAACTGTAGCTCTGCACATCTGTGTTTGCTGGTGTTCAGTGGTCCACAGGTAATAGTTGTCATAAAACAATTAACTATGTATAATAAATAATGTGGTGCTGATTGCTGCTATAAAATGTTAATCTAATGACACGATCTGTCTTAATTCCAGATAATTGTTGCTGGTTCCTTAAATTTCAGTTTGAAACATGGTGCAATAATATGGATGAACTATAGTTTTATATTGGGCTTTCCACTGATTTAATTTTATGTCGTAAACATAAAAGTGAATGAACTTCAAAAATGGGATAAATTAGCTTTAAAACCCTAATGTCATTTTTAGTGCTAAGCACCAGAAGAAAACTTTTAGATTGTACAACTAGAATGAGAACCTTGCAAAATGGAGCCTTGTGCTTCTCCCTCCCTTAGGACTGATGTATTTTGTAACTGTTCAATCCCTAAAGGCTAAATGCAGGTTCATATGGGTAGGTAGTTAGTTAAAATGTAGTAGTTAGCAGCCTTTAGGAAAAACAACTATTGGAATATCCTTCAGATTATATAATTATTTTTCCTATAATTTCAACTGTGCTTCTCATTTTTCATTTGTCCATATAATCCAGTGTATTGTATTAGACTTGTGTGTAGTAAAAGAAACAGTTAATTAGCATGACTATGGAAACTGTAGTAGACCAGTCCGTTTTTAAATTTTATATGCAAATGTGTCAGTGCTCTAATTTATACATAAACAATATTTTCTACATAAATTAAAACATATATACATAAAAACATCTACCATAATCTGCAGCTCATTACAACCTCATTAGTTTTAAAAGTGGCTTGCACTAGTTGTGGAATTGTTTGATTACTGGTTTGCCAACATCAAGTCCGGCAATTTTTGCACTAGCATAATACTGACTTTATTACTAGAGACACATGCATGTGCACACATGCACTGATAACAAAGTACACTGGCCAGTTTATAGTAGAAATGTAAACCATAAACATAAATCAAACTGTAAAGTTGCGGTGGTTCTTACTGTTGTTCTGTGGTTGTTAAATGCCATCTATTGAAATGTGTTCCAAGTTTGGACCTGCTGGGATGCTAACCACAGAGTACCCACTCTCTGTCCTTGTAGTTGCACTAATTTTTGAGAAACCAGTCTGGGCTGCCCTGGTTAGGATACAAATGTTACATGCACCAAAAAGTTTATGTTGAAGAAAGGTACCAGTAGTTAAAACTCTGTCTACATTACTGAGCTTAGAGATATCTGGCTTTAATAGCCAGTTCTCCCAGTGGTGTGTGAATGTTTGCATACTACCTGCATACATTTCTTCGTTAAGACAAATGGAACTAGCTGTGGGGTAGAACTTTCTTCAGCTTTGCTGTGCCAGAAAATGTGAGTGAAGTAATCCTAAATGATTCAAGCATTCTGTTCGAACAAGCCTTTAAATAAATTTTCCTGTCCTTTCCCTCCTTCAGATCACTATTTTGGATGCCAAAAGAAGTATGAATATTGGGATATTTCTGAAGCAGTTTAAAAAGTAAGACATCATATTACTATTGCATCTGCCAAATATTGTGATAATAATATTGCAGGAAAGGAGAGATACTCAGCCATGAGTAATATAGCCTCAGGCTTAATCTATCTTGAAAACAGAGCACACACTTGTCAATTTGGCTTATACTGTCTTTTCCATATACATGTGATAAGCTTAAGTTAGCACTCTAAGAACTGAAATTTCTGTGTTAGGCAGCCTACATCTATATAGTTAACATTTAAATTTTTCAAGGACAGACAGGCATTTTCCTTTTTTTATTGTATTTTATTTTAAAATCCTCTCTTTTATACATGAACACTGCATTATCATTTTATTCCTCTTAGACATAAGAAGTAATTTTGGTTAGTTTCAGTGGCCCCTCCTTTGAGGACATCCATATGCATTACATCATGTAATCAGTCAATACTGCATTAGAATGAAATGGTCACGTCATACAATACAAAATAAATTTCTTGTGTTTGGACATGAAAGTACAGTGTTCCAGTTTATGTAAATACAGCGTTCCCAGCATTTTGTTGTTCTTTCTCTACCAAGATCTGTTGAATCCATCATGGAAGACCTTCATGCAGGAAAAAGTGATCTCTATAGTTCTGAAATTCTACGTGAACTTTTCAAGTCATTGCCAGAAGCTGAAGAGGTATGTGGCGGATTGTGTGACAACCTTCTGTAGACTGAACAGAGATCTCTGGCTGCTTGTTTTGGGGGTCAGGGCAGTGGGACTGCATGTCCTGAACTTCTGTTATGAAAAGATGCCTCAACTGGCCTATATAGAACCAAAAGTAATCATGTGTGGCTGGCACTTGGTGACTAATGCCACTACAGAAGTCTTGTGTTACATTAAATGTGACCATTCTTAGGAGGCTTGTAGCTAAATGCTGTATTTGTTGCTATGGAACTATCAGAGTCCATTAAGGATGCTTAGTTACTCCTTTCCTTTGTGCCCTTGTAAACCCCTTTTGTTATATATTTAGTTGTGTAGTGGCTTAATGGTATGAATGACAAAACAATGGAGAGGGACAGTGCAAGGTTATCCAGAGGAGCAAGGCAGGTGACCTGATGTATAGAAATGAAAAGGCTGGTCTAGATATAAGAGCAGTATAATAAAGGGTATGAGTGGAAGGGCTCAAAATGCTGCCAAGAAAGGAGCACAACAAAGGGATCAGAAAGAGGATAAGTAGCTAACTGAATAATGTTAAATGGTAGGATAGAACCTTGGGATGCATAAAGAAAAGGTTAAGAAGTGAACTTCTAGAGCCCAGCCATAGATTTAAGTCTCATGGGACTTTGCCACCATAAAACACAAAGAACTGCTTTTTAGTACCCTCTGGTCAGAATTTCCCTTTCTACAGAGGACTACAGCAGATCCTCCCTTGAAAATGGGAATTCACGTGCAGATGGGGGACAGGGAGGGATGGCTACTGTACTTCCAGGGGATAGGGTGACCCAGTCCTGAAAAGGAATTTGACAGGAGAAGCAGATCAGAAAAGAATGAAACCTTTGAGGTGCTGTGAGAGGACACGGACACAGCAGTAAGGCATCCCTTCCAAGGGCTTTTGTACAGGAGGAGGAGGCAGGGCTGGAGCTTAAGCTGTTGCCAAGGCTGCTTGTTTTGGAACAAAAGCTAATCAGTTTATCTAACAGTGGTTCCAAAGGAATCATGTGTGATTGATTTTGTTTTCTTAAAATCTGGAAAGCATGCAGTTACTCAGCCATGACTTTCATATTCACTTTGGGTTGGAGAGGGAGAAGAAATATCAGCCAGAATTTTAAAAGATGATGGCTATGAAAGAAAGGTGAAATATTAAGGGTAGACTTAAGAGTCCTCTATAACAGGTGTAGCTGTGCAAATAAAAGCAAGAAATTTTGTGTAATGACAACAGGTTACAAAGGTCTGTGTACAATGGAGTCCTTACTGAAGCTGAGGTAAGATGCACTTGTAAGATCATGCAAAAAGGAGTAATGTGCAAAATCCAAGTAAGAGAGAAAACTGCAACATAAAACTTAAGACTGTTCAAAGGTATATCTTATCATGGATATTTTCCATCTAAGATGCTTCAAGTTGAACACCTTATTGCTACAGTGTAGGCATATTAAAATACTTACAGATACATGCCTTTCACAGCTTGCCAGTTTAATACAAGCTAGCTTTTTGTTGAAGGATTAGTTAACAATTGAAGAAGTTGGAAACTAGCGTGTTAATAATCAAACCAGGGTTGCAATTAAGGCTGCATGTTGAATAGGGCAGTCCTTTTAGATCTTGGACTCTGGAGAAAAGCATCTTAATGACCTGTATGTCTAGGGCTCTGTGTGCCACAATTCTGTGCAAGCCGCAGCATTCAATAGTGGGTGCAGAATAAAGCATTTTGGCTTCATTTGTTTAAAGTGTACCTTGCTAATGTAAAAAAGATTAAAAAATGCCAGAAGATGATACAAATAGGGCTTTGGTAGTCTGCATAGCACCTTGCTTCTTGCAAGGAGTATAACAACTTTATAAACAGGAGTCCACACTTTTTGTGCCGTTTTCCACATGACACTCAGAGAAGAGCAGAGAATCATTTCTGACTTCTTGCTGGGCTTCAGAGGCGCTCAGAATGTCTGCAAAATGCAGCCTGAAGTCGGAGATCATGAACTTCCTCTTCTCCTGCCAGTTCCATGGACAGGAGGCAGGTTCTTGGCTGCATTTTGAAGCAGGGGAAGTTGAAGATGAGGGCAAGAATGATTTTCAGAAAGAGGATGGAAAGTTTCTATGGTGACTGAATTTGTGCGGGGTTGCTTTGTTAACACTCTGACAGAATTCAACTTCCATTGATTCAATGTATGACCTTGTCTATAGGTGACAGCCCTTGAAATATTTCTAACCTTTGTGGAAAATGCTTGCCAAATGTCTTTCTTGCTGTCACTAGCAAAAGTTTTATTAGGAAGCAGTGAGCAAGGCTGTGCTGTTCTTGTTGCAAGCAGCCGTTCTGCACTGATCAGCTAGCAAGGACCAATTTCTTATTTGGCAGTGGTCTGAGAAGTTGAGGGCAAGGCACTTAAGCACATGCCAACTTTCTGGTAGTCTTAAAAGATATGTGGAAACTGTTTTCCTAATGGCCTTATATCTCTATCAATTTTTGAAAAAGATGGCATGTGCACAGGTATGAATATATAGGACAACAAAAATGAGGACACCACACCTGCTTGCCAAACTCTTCTTTTACTTCTCCCTTTCATGTCCAATGTAAGAACCTCTTGGAAATGCAGAACCAGTTCCTATACTTCTGTACTACTTCCGTGCTACCGTTGTATACATGCACATGCCCCATCTCCTGTTTCTTACACACCTGCTCGCCACCTGCCATATCAATTCCAACAGCATATTCTGGACTCCACACGTGCCTCTCACCAAGTTCTAGCTATAGGACATGAACGTCTCAGGTAGTTCTTTGCCCTTATTGTCTCTACATGCACCCATACCTGCTTTTTCCCAAATCTAGCATGAATGCTTAATGCCCTTAGGTTTGAGAAACATTGACCAAGTATGAGAACCTGCAGATTTCATATCTGCAGAAAGCTATGATTTATTTATATATAAATATATATGTGTGTATTATTCAAACGAGTAGAAAGAATTGTTCTTACCCTCTACTTGTTAGTGCTTCTTTAAGTTGTTCTGGGGCCACATTTTCAGTGAATGCTAGCGGTAGCACAATAGTTTTTTTTTCCTGTGACAAGATAATTTCTTATTGAAATAAGGCACTGAATGCAAGAACTACATAGTTTGGTTGTGTCACATAATCTTGCACCTTTGAACTGCTGCCCACCCGCTTGGCGGTGGATGGGGATCCATGGGATGCCCCAGTGATGGTTCCTGTAGTAAGCCACTTCCAGGGAACTGGCTGTCAGAGTACTAAGTGTAAGTGTGAGCATGTCCCTAGTTAGATATTTTAATTCAGACCATAAAGGAACAGATGCCTATGACAACATGATTCAGAACATCATGTGCCAGGAAGCGCTTCCTGACAGTTAGGGCCCCTAGGGCATGGGATGGGCTTCCCTCACCCTATCAGTGAGGATGTTCAAGGATAGGTTAGACATGCACATGGTAGGCATGTCATGAACGGAGCTGGCTGGAGCCGGGATGGCCCTGGAGGCCTCTTCTGATTTGCTCTGTTTCTATGTTTCTATGTGGTGTATGGGTAAGAGTTCTGGACTGGAACCTCTTTGGGCCAGTCATTGACTCACAGCCTAGCCTACCTCACAGGGTTGTTGTGAGGATAAAATGGAGAGGAGAAGTGCATTATAAGCTACCTTGAGTACCTTGATAGGCAAGGTAGAAATGTAACAATAAATAATAAAGCAGATGGGAAAATGCAAATTTCCTAGCAATCGGATTTGGAATATGCACACTTGCACCAAAGGTTGCAAATGCGTTCAGGACACTCTGGTGACTTTTGTGGTTCAGCTCTAGGAACACTGGCTGAAAGGCACTGACAACAGATGAGGGAGGGCAGCAGTGGCACCACTGAAATCATAAGGAGATGCAGGGATGAATGTGCTGCTCTTACCCAGTGGCTCTCTAGCCATTCCCAGCAAATCACAGTGACTTAGCCTTGCTGGTTTTGGTTATCACAAGCCACTTTGAACAACCCAGCAGCAAGCCACAGGATCTCAGGGTAGATGGTTTTGACCAAAAATGATGCCCCATGACATCAGCGCAAGCAATCCTAAAGCAACCGGCAGTGATAATCCTCAGTGCAATGACCATTGTGTCACATGCGTTGGATCACACACTAATGGGTTGTGATTTTTTGGCAGGTCTGATACCTCTAGTTTTAAAAATGGGCCCCAAGTGTGCAAAAGGCTCAGGGTGAGATAAGTTAAGTTTATGTAAAAATGTATTGTTCAATTCATAGTTTATCATGATCTGTGAATCAGGGCTGTGTCTGTGAAGGACTAAAGATAAGTTGATCCCAATCAAAGACAACACATCCTATTTTCATACTAGAAAGGAGTGATTCCGTTTTGTTTTTTCTTTTCTCTGCTGCAGCAGTTGTTTTCTGTGGAGGAGGAAATAGATGCTACATATTTAATAGTGTACTTCAGTCTGTATTAAAAGCAATAATACAATTTTGGTCACAGAATATAGATTCCAACATCACTGGCTAGCAATGATTTCCCAGGAAAAGCCAATTGCAAAGGTCTGTAGTTGTAGAATTAGTTTTTTTTTAACTTCCATTTTTAAAAATAGCTTTTAACCCAACTCAGGTTGTAAAATATATGAATGGAGAGGCTTACACATTCCAAAAATTATGAAGGAAAGATATCCTTGTTTGAGCACAGGCCAAGAATGTGTGAAATTATCCCCCTAAAGGAGAAATGTAAAGAGAGAAAATGAGACACAACTTGTTTTTATCAGTTACGAGTTAATGTGTTGGCAGGCTATCTTATAGTTCCTAATAGTACTAACTACCAGGTGTGTGTTCATTATGCCAAATTTGTGACAATGTGCAGATTGATTTAGTAGTCCTCTGGATGTCTGATTCCTGCCAGACAGAACATTTCTGTGATGAAAAGCTATGAATTTAAGACTTGAGTAAAGCGGGGCTTTGGTTTCCTAGCAGCATAATTTGCTCATGAACACTTTTTGCAATTCTGTCACCCTCTACCTGATGTGTTGGAATCAGGGTCCCATAATTCCCCTCCAGCTTGCCATGCAGCTGGGGGGAAGACTGTCCTGAGCAAAGTTTTGCACACGTTTTGCTCGTGCTGGCTCCTGCCCAATGGAATTCCCTCTTGAAAGACATGCTGCCCTTTCTTTCTAAAGGTGCTTTTAAAAGGTCTTTAAAACGTACTTGTTCTTGACTGGTAGTTGAAAACCTTTTGTGGCACTTGCTCCTATTAGACTATGAAATGATGTTTCATTTTAACTGGTCTATTTGAAAACTGTTCAAATTTAATGTGCTTTTCTAATTTTGATACTGAAATTTATTGTTCTGTAAGCTGTGTTGGGAAAACCACGGCCTTGACATGTGGTTTATGAGTGCATTTAACGGAGAAAAGAGTTCCATGTAGAGCAAGATGTGCTGGCTTGTTTAAAGTGCAGTAGCACATGCAGTAGCTTAGCGTATATAGCTTATTTCGTATATGAAAAATGTTTAGGATTTAGAGGTGCTTTTGATCAGTGAGAAATGTGTGGCCCTCCAGGTATTGCCAACTGAATCAGCCGTCTGCTGTAGTCAGCATGGCCAGCGGTGAGGATGGCAGCAGTCGCAGTCCAAGAACTTTTCCCCATCCCTGCTTTAAAAGTACGCCGTCATGATTTGCAGAAATGTAAATATTTATGGAGAACAAAGTGCCTCCAACTGGAATTTGTTCTTATATAGCAGGGGAAGAGTTGCTGCTGCACATAGCTGCCTGGCAGATCATTTCTCTTGCCCCGTTCCTTGTCACTTTGAGCGATGGCAAATGCGGGGTACTGGGTTGTCCTACCTCTGGGGTTAAGTGCAGCTTGCAGGACTGTGCCATCACATGTAGACATTACTGGGGTGGGAGGGGGATTACCAAAAGCCTGGCTGTTGTTTTTAATGCATCCAGCCTGTCATAAGATGGTGTTATAGCTTCAGAAGCAAATTTTGTAACCAGTCATGGTGGACTCTGAAATTAAAATTTAGCATTGGGTTGATTTTTGGCCACTTTTGCTTGCAGATTGATCTTTGGCCACATTTGCATGACATGCTAAGCCACGCTGCAAATAAGCCATGTTGTTTGTTTGTAAACAGCCCACCATTCACCTCACAGATTATTAGGTTCACTGTGGCTTGTTCTGACCCTCCTTTTCCCTCAGCCCTCAAGCTGGTTTCCCAGTGTCTGTTATGGCAGGACCCAGCTTGTCTCTTCCTGTTCAAATAGCTACCCTCTTTTATTTGCCACTGGGTGGTGTGCAGTTTTGAGTACCCCCAAAACAACTTTTTTTTTCCTTTCAGTCCCAGGAAATTGCATAATTGTATTCATCATTCTTTATTACTATATTTTTCTCAGTCTTTTGCAAGTTTGTATATATAGTTTTAGATCTGTCTGATTTGTGAAGTCTTTGCAGGTCAATATCCTTGCATGCTTCACTTGTAAAAAGGGAGGGGCATGGAAACTGACATAGCAAGACTGCATAAAAGCTAATTCTCACACAGTAACTGTGGTCCAATTGTCTAGTTGTTAATTGAAAAACACAGTAAAGTGAGAAGGAAGAAGATGCACAAACAAAGATGCACCAAAAGTCAGTAATGGGGGCAAACCTAGTCTTTGATTGATTTGTTCATGGTATATAAATGTCTTCTCTCTCTTTCCCCCCCACCTTCTGGTTCCTTAGGTAAAGAAATTAAAGGATTTCAGTGGAGACATATCAAAACTGTGTCAAGCAGATTATTTTATGTACTTGCTAATCCAGGTGCCAAAGTAAGGAAATTCTTATTCTATCTATTATAAATGCTCTGTCTCTTTCTCTCATATCTGAGTTCTAACACTTATTTTGTTTGTTTTTCAGCTATTCACTGCGAATTGAAGCCATGGTGTTAAAAAAAGAATTCTCTCCATCTTGTACTTCTCTACAGAAAGACATGACAATTATAAGAATGGCTACAAAGGGTAATTAAACATGCTGCAGCATGCATTAGGCTCTTGTTTTTCTTAGCAGGTTAATCAACCTAACTAGAAAGATGAGATCTGGAATTTCAGGTACCTATTAGCTATTTAAAGGAAGTAAGCTAGTTCTGACACATTCCATAAGGGTGTGTGTATTATCACTCTGGTGTGTGTGTGCATGTTACATTTTTTGCTCTTCTCTCAAGGCTAGGTTGTTGGAATTGTTTTTCTACTTTTCCCACTTTTTTCTATTAGTGATTCTTTTGCTGTTACAAGCCAGAAGTGCAAGGGTGGGTGGACTGCAAATGCCAACTTATTTCGCCATTGGTCATGCTGGCCAGGGCTGATGGAAGTTGTAATCCAGCAGCATCAGGAGGACAACATATTCCTCACTCTTCCCATGGTTGGTCCTGTCCACCCAATGGAGACCAATGCAGATGTCCACAGAGTGACCCAGTGACCCAGCTTGCACACAACAGAAGCAATTTCTGGGTTGTTTAACCAGGACTTGCAGGTGTGTGCAGAGTGCCAAAGCCATTTCCACTTTTAGCTAACATTCTAGAAAAGTGCTTGTTTAAGTAATCCAGAGTGAACCCAACAATTGCCCATGGTTTGTTGTTCCTCTGTTGTCCTTGGGTTGTATAACCCATAAAACAATTAAAACATCCAGTTTTGGGCATCACACCATTGTTAATGGAAATGGAAATAGCTCACACACAGCTTGCCTGCTGTACTTGTCACCACAGTTCCCAGAACATGCAAGCCGTTTTGTGGCTCCTGAAATCCCCTGTCTTATCACTGCCCCAGTCTCCTCATTGTGTGTCCCTTCTCTCTGGTTCCGATTGGCAGAAATGCCCATTCGGGCTTAGATCTCCTTTGTCTGTTGAGCTGCTTGGTCATTAGTCTCTAGCTGTTTGCCAAGTGCAGGAGGAGGGCTCTGTGGATGGTCTGGAACAAAGCAACGTTCTGGGAGGAAGGAGTGAGGCCTTTTAGTGCAAGGACTTGAAGGATAAGTAGGGAGTCCTAGTTGGGGCTTGCCTGTACGTAACCCCACCCCACACAAAAATCCATTCAATACATTGGCAATATGTGTAGGTTATTTCCACCAGTACTGCTGCTTATTTGTACCCCCTTTGAAACTTCATATGCCCAAATTCACCCCCGCAATTTCCTGTGAAATGGTCCCAAAAGTGGAGAATGCATCTCAGACCTGTAGTTCCTGCAAATCTTTTCAACTAAAATAAGATTTTCTGGATTTCTGCCACTAAATACAGTGGCTTCATTTCTCTGTTCCTTCCACATATTCCTGATGATTATAGGAAATATTTTGGAAACATGGTTTTGGGAAAATAATTACTCTCCTACTCTTTGTGCTACACATCTATTAAACAGAAATAATTGCTTACATGAATGACATAATGTGGCTTCAGGCTGGAGTTACTAATGATAGTATACTTGCTTCCAGTGCAAAGAGCTAGGTTTATCCATATGCTGGTAGAACTGCCAACACGTTGTAGACAAATTACATGTTTGCGTTTTGCTATCTTCTGTATCAGCTAATTTATTGGATTACTTTGGGAAAGCCTATGCATTCAGCTTGCTCTGCAGGTCTCCATTTTTCATTGGTTCATGGAGATCTATGGATGAAAACATTTAATAGCTTTAACATGGGTTGGGCAATTGTTGAGCTTTGTGTTATGATCAATTGAATTGTATCATGCGGTAGAGAGCTTATGGCTAATGGGGCTGCATACAAGTTTAAATTAATAAATGGTTTTCTGGACAAATGCATTCAGTTTAAAAATGGAGCAACCGATGGATTCAGATTCTTGTGTCTTTTGCAGAGCTGATGTGCTGCGAAGAATTGCATTCCATATTGCACTTGGTCCTTCAGGCTGGGAATATCATGAATGCAGTAAGTGGGCAAAGCTTAGTTTTGGTGTTTGGGGGCAGGCCAGTAACTTCCCTGGATTGATCTCTCACTTCTCTTTCTCACCAAACACCTTAGGGCGGCTATGCTGGCAATGCAGTTGGCTTTAAGCTGTCCTCATTACTCAAGTTGGCAGATACAAAAGCAAACAAACCTGGGATGAATCTGCTTCATTTTGTAGCTTTGGTATGTAAATAACAACCATTTCAAAGATAAAAGACAAAAGAAATCTAAACAGTAGGATTAGGAGATGGATTGGATCTAGTAGGAGGGATACATGCCCCAGAACTTGTTTGTTCACCTCTTCACATGTTTCATTCTGCTATTAATGTTTGAAAGTTCAACCCCATAGAAAACTGAATCAGCACCTAATTTATAGTCCTGGAGCCACCACTTTTCTGGATCTGTATTTAAAATCTCAGATATCTTTTGCCTAGCTAGCTATTCCTAGCAAAGACTGTTTACTTGGTGGCAATACTTTGAAAGAAAACTTTTCTTGGAAGATTTAATGTTAGCGGAGTAGCTTTTTGCAACTGGTTGCTTATCTTCCTTCCTGATATATTCAGTTGTCCATTACTGCTAATTCAAATGGTGGTTATATTTAATAATTGCCTGTTTTGCTCTATTCCTGCAAATGCAAGAGCTGGTTTTTTTATTTGTATGACTTTGTGGATGTCCCTGTGCAAACTGGTTTAACAACTAATCTGAATCTCCAGGGGAGGGGGACATGGCAAAGAGTGGATATTAGGTGGAGATTAAGCAGGAAATGTTGCATTAGCTTGCACAAAGGGCATTAGTACATTACCTTGTGTAATGGCCCTCCTTATTCAGTTGTGATTATATTCTTTGGAAGACAGCTAACACTCAGGCTCAGTGAAATAGAAATGATCATTTTAACTTGTTAAATTAGATCCTTCCCAGCCTTTTAAAGAGTGTTTTCTAAACACAGCAAGTTGAATGCAGAAACGGCTTATTTATTTTCCAAAAAGGCCTTGGTTGATGTAGACTTCAGCATGGGAGTGGAATGTCATGGGGATATTTTGTTTGTTTCAGGAAGCCCAAAAGAAGGATAAAGTTCTTCTAAGCTTTTCAGAAAAATTGCAGCATGTTCAGGAGGCAGCCAGGTAAGCAAGAAAGCTGAGAACATTGGGAACTTTTCTTTACATTGCACATAAATGCATCTGCAAAGTTTTGGTGTGAAAACTGAGCTCTTAACAAGTGTTTACTGTAGACTCTGTGGTTTCATTTTCACTGCAAATAGAAGGATGCCTGAAGCAGTCCTTCATCTTTAGGTGCTTAATGAGTTACTCTTTAAGGAGCATGAGTGTTAACTTATCAGAAGCTATTCATCTATATACAGTTTTCTTCATGGAACAACTGATTAAAATAAATATCAATATTATGGGGGAAATTACATATTTGGTGATGAAGCAACTTCCCTTGATTAATCTAGATAGATAACTTTGTGGAGAACTATCCCTTTTGCTCACAGAAAATTCTGAATTCTACAAATAGAAATCAAAATTCAAAATAAAATTATGTGAGCTCATATATTTCTGCTCAATCCTGTCTTGTTCTGTTTTTTGAACTGAGAGAAGTCTGATTAGTCAGGTGGTTTGGCTGGTGGTGCGAGGCACGTCGGCATAAATATTCTACATACCCTTTCTTCTTTCCTCATTGCCAGGTGGGAGGAACTGAGCCCTGTTTGGAAAAAGTTGAAGCAAAGGGTGTGGATCCTTAAGTCCCATTTCCTCCATCTTGGGAGTGTTTCCATGGCTACCTATGAAGAATGGTCATGATATACAAAACAGGAGCCATAATATTACTAGCGTTCTAGTTCTGCTACAGTTTGTGTGTGTGTGTGTGTGCATCAGCCCTATGACTTTACGATCCCAAACTTCCTTAATCTAATAATAGGCAGTCTAGGGGAATATTTGCCCTTTGGAACCATGATCACTAAAACTGGGGAGGATTACTGGGTCATAGCATCTACCATGGAAAGATTGGCTTTTGCATTTTGGCAGATCCATTTTGTTCACCTTGAATATGTTACAGCAAGGCAAGTTTTTAAAAATAAGATAGCCAGTACTGCAGTAGTAGATACCTCCCTTTCCCAAAAATTGCTTTAGACCCCTTTTTTTCTTTGCAGAATATCTCTTGAAAGTATAGAAGCAGAACTTCAGTCACTCTCAGTGAAAACAAAATCTCTTAAGGACAACGTCCGGCGGGACTCAGAGCTCTTCCGCCAGATGGAAGGCTTCCTCCAGGTTTGTGGAAAATTCCTGCCATTTCTGTTCTTTATTTGTATCTATATTCATCCACATTCGGCCGCATAACTGTTTATGTTAGTTATATATGAACCAAAAGTAACTTGTTCTTCTTAAGACACTTCTTCATTCTTGCTGTAACGCTGCTCATCACTTGTAACCATTTTAAGAGACTGTTTTTTTAAATGCATTTAAGTTTCTGTAAATTGGTTGATAGCAATCTGTGTTTGCCTGTGTCTCCTAATTTGGGCAGCATGGATGTGGTGCTGTTCTTCAAGAGGAGCGTAGTGCCAGGCAGCTTGAACCCCCTTCAGTCACCCTCACCTGCTGTGAAGGCCAGGGAAGAATAGCAGGCTGCGTCTCGCTTTCCCCCACCCTTAACTGGTGTGAGACAATGGGAAAATAGCACCTGAGACCATGGCAAAGGGGAAGAAGGGCTGAGGCAGGCTCTTTTCCTCCTTGCCACATTCCGGCCTCTTTTTTGGGTTGTGGGGGCTGGCACAGAAAGGGAGCTTCAGCTCCCGCCTGCTCAGAGCTAGCCGCCAAAGGCAGCTGCAGCTGCTAGTTCTGCCTGCCCTTTCCCTGCACGGTGCCAGTGACAGGTGGGAAGGTGTGGGCTGGTCAGCCAGCTTTTCTTGAGCAGTTGACTGGTCAGGATGTGGCTGCTTGCCCACCCTGCTGGTCTTTGCAGCTGGGTACAGAAGAAAGCACGACAGGGAGGCGCTTTCCCCCTGAGGTGGAAGCGACCCCTCACTGGCCAGGGTGAGGAGGCTTCTTGGCAGAGCGGCGGGAGATGCATCCCCCATCCCTTCAGCCGTGTCACTGCTCTCCCTGGTGCCGCTGTCTGGGTGGGAGGACAGATTCTTTCTGCTTGCCTTCCCCTCACAAAAGACAAACTGAACCACTCATTCATCTCTGCTGCAGCGGCCAAGCCAAAATGGCTGCAGCGGAGGCAGGCTGGTGCCATTCAACTTTCCTTCCTCAAGAGGAAGTGAAGCCAACCGGCTCCTGCCTCTTGCTGCCTCCCCAAGCCGCCTCAGCAATCCAACTTTCCAAGTTCGGCAAGAGGCAAGTGGCGGGCAAGGTCAAGTGAGCAACGTGTCACTTGGCACTTAGTCGGCTGTCGTTGCCCCTTGGCCTGAGCGGCAGCTCTTCTTTGATGCTCTGGCCAAGCGGGTCTAGCCATGGTTTAGATACCATATGGACTCCGAAGACGTGCTAAGCCATGGTTTCAGTGGGATAAATGGCTGACTAACCCAATATCTGTCATTTAAGTGTTTGTGTAATATGAGAGGAGTCTCTAAAATAAGTAGAGCAGTCTGTTGATTATTGTGGCTAAAGTGCTAATATTTTTATCCCCTTTCCTGGATAATTTGTTGCAGGAATAAAGTAGGATGAATTATAGTTGGGTGTCACAGAAATGAAAGTTGGGCCCAGGGAAATTTATTTTACGAAACCTTTCTGATACCATGACCCACATTTTCTTCAGCTATAAAGGCTTCCGTGCTTTAGTCTACTAATTAGTAGTCTACTAATACTGCTCTGAACTATTGACTTCTTTCTCCACAGTCAGAGTTTTAGTGCTGATGAAGTGTGGAATCTCTTAACTTCCCTGTTAGCTTTTTAACATAATATCAGACTTGATAGGGAACAATTCCCAATGTATGCTTTGGATCCCTCTTCAGGTACATCTTATATCTGCTTCCTTTCCAAAAACGGTGGCTAAGATAACTATAAGAACTGGCTTATCTTATCCTCATGAATTAGGTACTAATTTGAAAGGTGGAGCCATTTTTTCATGATCTTTTTTTAGCTTATCTTCATAACTACCTTGCTGAGTGATGCTATTTTTTTTCTTTTTTGGAGTCTTGACAAAGCTAAGATTATCCACCCTACTGAAGTGTTTACATACCCCCACCCTTGTCAACCCTTGGGCTCCTGAGTTGAGTTCTTGCTTTGTAAGACAAGCCACCAAGAAAACAAAGCTTAATATATTTTTGGCAATGTCTTTTTTTATTTTTAACGAATGCTCATTTATTAAACAAATAGAAATGCTGAAGGCATCTCATTTGTTTCTGTAAGTGCCTATGTGCATGCTTTTTATGAACAAAGTGAGACGGGAAATTAACCAAGTTAATCTTCTTAAAATCCATGATTGCCCCATCTTACCTTGATCAAACAATATTAATTGAATTGTATTTGTCAAATTTGAAACTGGCTTAGCATTCCAAAGTAAGTGTTACTAAGGGACAATACGAACTGCAAGGATAGATTCTCATGTCTTTGTTTTAAGGTAAGTGCAGGTACTTCTTTCAAAGTAGGCTGAGTTCTCTTCAGTCTGAAGATGTGTTAACATTTTTTTTTGCTATATTATCATTATGTATGTATGTATTTATGTATTCTTTGTGAGCTGCCCCGAGGCTTTGTTGCGATGGGGGCGGCATAGAAATGTTTTAAATAAATAAATAAGCAAGCAAGCAAGCAAGCAAGCAAGCAAGCATGGAAGTGTAGTGCACCTATTTGTCTAGAAGAGGATGGCAACCTTCAAGCATTCCTGAACTCGAGCATCTTCCAAATGTATGTGCCAGTTCACATGGCAGGACAGCCCATTGTGATTAATTTACACTTGAAGAGCCATGGTATATGCCAGCTGCCCTTATGAATATGTCTCCACAGACTGGGGGTGTGGAGCTTTGAACACTAGTAGGTACTGCCTGTCTTACTACAGATTAGGACAAATTTCAGCCAGTATCGTAGGGTTTGTGACAACAGCCATAAATTGACAGATATGCTAACATAGACTGCTATTTAATGTTCTTTTCTGTGGAAAACATAATTCTGTAGAACAGGGGAAGGCAGAGTGCAAACTTTCCTGATCTACTGCCTGACAATCTATGCTTTATCGGACTTCGTCATGGTGCTCTCACAAAATTCTAACTCTCCAGAAAATGCGTGTGCACTGAGCCTTTATCTTCAGTGAGGGGATGGAAATAATTTGCAATAGAATAAACATCTGTTGAATGTTAACTAGAATGACTAAATAATCTAGCTGTGTCTGCTTTAGATATGAGCTTTGGTAGCACTGGAGGAGATGCAGCTTGTAAGAGTTGGTGAGAATTGAGCTGGTGGAATAAATCAAAAAACGTAACTGGATAATATAACAGCTGTTGGCAGGGAAAGAGTTTCTGTCTTTAGTTCCTTTCAGGCAACTGGTGGGAGTTCAGCTCAGCAATAAAAGTATTAATTTTATATGTTAAAACAAGAATTTAAATACGCTAAAATGCTTTTACCGGCTTCCCCCAAGTATTTTCAAGTAGACCTGCATTAGGCCACCTGCTATGTGGCATAATGCAGGTCTAGCAGCTGCCCTTGTGTTATGAACTTCAACTTACCTGCTTCCCAACTGCCTCCCCCCTTCTTAAATATGTATTTGGATATTTAGTTTTTCCATGCTGATTTAATGAAATGAAAACTGACTTTTTGTCCCACTTGGGACAATTCCTCCCCCACCTCCCTGGTCATCTTGAGAGAGCTGAAAATGACTGCAGCCAACCATTCGCAAAATAATTGATAGTCCAGGCTCAGAACTGGTCATGAAATGGAGGCAGATGGAGGTGGAATTTTGCATAATCAACTGCCACTTTTGGCCAGATTTTTTGCCACCTCTGTTTTTCTTGTAGTAGGGAATTCAGTAATTCAGTTTTCCTCAAGATAAGTACAGACATTCCAATGTCAGGCAAAATTTTGCAGGTCCAGAGGTCAAAGAAAACATATTGTGTTCTTTTCCCCTTTCCCCACACACGCCTCTTAAAAATATTCATCTGCTGAACTCTCGTTTCTTCTATCCTCATCCTACACACTCAACTTGCCCCCATCCCCAAATGTTCATTCCTTCTGCACTCACTTGCAGCTCTTTCCCTAGTTACTATCTTCCTCTTTCTTCACATTTGCTCTTCAATGGAGCAGCGATTGAACACTGGGTAAGCTGGGGCACCGAGTCGTCCTGAAAGCAGACTAGAAGCCCCTACTGATCTACATCTTTGTCTTTGTCAAGAGACACATCAGAGGTTTTGTTTGTTTCAGATGGTTGAAGATGGCAGTGCAGCAGGAGCATGGCCTGTTAAAGGTGAATTTATCCCAATATTGTTCCCAGTAAACTGGCTTTACAGATTTGTGTAATGTTAAAAAAAACCTGTAAAACCTGTTTCGCCAGAGAGATAAAAGGTGTACATGTACACCAACAGTAGGAAAGCTTGTATCATACCACTTTCGGTGCTATAGTTCTGTGATTTCCTGCTACAGTCATGTAGACTTTGGTTTAACTGATGCTGAAATGTGCATATGCACACATAACACAAGGAAATAAGCCATTATTCAGTTGTTTGGATCTCATGTGTATGTTGTTTTTTTACATTATAGTTTGCTGTAAAAGAACTAAAAGAGCTGGAACACTGGAAACGAGACTTACTGAAGGAAACCCATGCCCTTATAGACTTCTTGTGTGAAGATAAAGAAACTATGAAACTGGAGGAGTGCTTTCAAATATTTAGGGATTTTTGCCTAAGATTCAACAAGGCTGTTAAGGTAAGAACAGAATTAAGCATCCATTGATTCTAAAATAATTAGGCGGCTTCTCAGCCAGATGATTTTGACGGATATTTAAGAGAATAAAGATATGCATTAATAGAGTATTTGCTAGTTTAAAGGTTGCCCTCTCGTCAATTCATGCCAAACTTATTGCTGTTCAAAAGATTTTATTGAGCTTTCAATATTTAAATTGGGCTCTCTGCGGGACAAAATCTGAGGCGTCCTCTTGTTTCCACTGGAAAAGAATTCACACTTTTTATTTCTTTTGCATCCTATGTAATGAAGTAGAAAGGCATGAAGTATTTCTTATGCCCTGGCAAGTTTGGGAGGACAATCCAGGAGCCCTTGTCTAGAAATGAACGGCAGATGGCCATATGATTGGCCTGTATGCTTGTAACATGCACACGCTGTAATCTTTGCAGTGCTTTTATAAAGACAGTAGGCAAAGTGCCCGGAAGCTTCGTGGGTTAAAGAATATTTAGCACTTTTAATCCAGAAGGCAAAGTATGCGTGGCCTTGAACTGTTGCATTGCACTGTAAGGAAAGCATATGCAATAATGCTTTGTGGGACATGAAAGAATAAAAGTACTGCTAACTAGACAAAGGGAAAATCAAATGGTGTTTACCTTTATATTTCAGGTCTCAGATATGTGTGGAGTGTTAGATAGTGGAGGAGAGAGTTCAGGGCAGTTGTTCCACATAGAAGTGCTCCAGAACTACAAGATGTTTGCTCCATTTCAGTGCTTTTGAATAACATTTTAGGTTACATATAATCAAATTTTATTCATCTTTAAGAAATACCGGGGGTGGGGGGTGGGGATAAATAATAGAAACATTTAGTTATGTAGGCTGCCTCAGGCCTTTTTAGAGAAAAAATGGGATATAAATGTAACAAATGAAGAAGAGTAAAGATTTTATAGACAGACATGTTTTGCTTCTTAAATATTGTTTTTAAATTGGGCATAGTAGCAAAAATATCAAAGCACAGATTATTTGAAAATGTGTTCTCTAAAATCTAATCTTTACCCTGTTTATTTAGTTTGGTTTGCTAGGAAGCATTCTGAATTGGGGGCTTGATGACAGCGTCAATTAAAATTCTTTGTAATTCACAACTGAGGTGCATTTCAAAAGCAAATTGCAGCATAATTAAATAAAATATGAGTGATTATTTCATAACATTTTAACCAGCTGAGCTTAATGAAACAATGAAAACAAATCTCTTTCCTGCTTCCTCTGGTACCATAGCAGAAAAGAGTTGCTATGGTAATTTTTACTCAAGAATCAAAATCAAAAGGGAAGAGTAAGGAAGATGGATGCAAAAATAATAAAAATAGATAAACAGCCCCAGAATTTAAAATGTGGGTTTTTTCCCTTTTCGTTGCAGGAAAATAAGGAAAGGGAGATCCAAGAACTTCAGCAGCTGCAGAGATTAAAGGAGTTGGAAGAAAAACGCCGATCATCTATGGCTGGAGAGCTTGGGGCTTTTGGCCGGAGCAGCAGTGAAAATGATGTTGGGACATTAACCAAGAGAGGACTTGAAGAATTCCTACCCTTCCTGCAACAGAGGCCCCAGAGCCCTTCTTACAGAAATTCCAGCATCAGGCGTTCCCGGCATTCCTTGGGAGTCACTGCAGACAGAGAGCTGCTGACATTCCTGGAGACCTCACAGTGTGAGGACCCAAATAAATTCAGTAACCTTCCCCAAGCGCCCGCATGTCAAGCAAGACCCAGCATGTCCTGGGCTGAATCTAAAGAATCTGGAGATGCCAGTTTCACTAACTTGCGCTTGGACCAGGCATCTGAAGCTGGTACAGACTGCACTTACTACCAGTTGCCCCCATCTCAGTCTGATCACGTTGCAAACCTCAAGGAGCTAGCCACTGCCCATAGCAATCTCTATAACCACCAAGAGAGTGCTAGCAAGGACAAATACAGGACCGGCATGCCTTGTATGGAAGCTACAGATCCAGCCTCCTGGGATGTATCACTTGAAGAATGTCAGCTTGTCCCAGGAATGCATAAGCTAGACCTCCATGAGGCAAAAAGTATGGAGGATCCATCTGCAGCTCACTTTGCCGTGGAGGTGAGGGGTCTGGAGACTCTGGGTGACTCAGGCTTATACTCTGCTGGTGATGCTGTAGCATTCTGCAGAACATCTAAAGAGACTGCTTCTAGAGCTGATAGCGCTGCCAAAGTGGCACGTCCTGGCCGTGATCCCCCTGAGCCCAACAGTGGTAGTCCTGTCTCTTCAGATGGCAGCATTTCTGGAATTAAGGCACACAGGCCAATGTTCAGCATATCAGACGCTTCTGACTGCTCCTTGACACTTGATCTGTCAGAAGAAAATGATCTGAAGCTACATGGCAACAAAGCAGCCAGGAAAGATGGTGCCATGGCCTCATTTATGAATGATCTGCAAAGTGATGGTAATGCCAAAGTAGGGCTGAGCTCAATGTGCAGTGATGGAGATGATGCTGATAGCAAGTCTGGTCTTTCAAAAGAAAAACCTGTAAGAAGCAAAGATGCAGTAGTGCCAAAGAGAAATTCTTTGAAAGATAAATCTTCAGGTTCCATAAAATCCACTAGTGGTCCTTCCAACCACCCCAGACCAGTCAGAACCCTAAACTCATCGGAGAATTCGAGCATGAGAAAAGTAGTACCAATTTCCAGGTCAACTAAAGCTGCACCCCCCAGCTGTGCAGCAAAAAAGCCAGAGACTAAGCCAGCACCTCGAGACACCAGTGTGGCTGAAGCGCGGTTGTCACGTCGCAACTCTGTCCGGGGCACCGCAGATGCAACACCAAAACCTCAGTACAGGCAGAGCGTATCTGTAGAGGAGCCAAAATTCCAGCGGGGCACTGCGACTTCCAGCAGCGGTCATTTTGAGAGGGAGCAGCTTCAGCACAAAGGCTCTTTCAAAAAGCCAAGCTCTAAACCAGTCAGATACGTCCCTAAGTCAAAAACGGATGAAACTAAAATGTGCCGCTCTTTCACCAAATCCCCCACGGATCCTAGCAAAAGCACAGCTGTCTCCATTCCCAAGACCCCTGCTCCTGTTCCAGGCTTTGCAAGGAATACTGTGGCCTCTTCCTCAAAATGTGCAAAGGTGGATTTGTCAACCCCTTCCAAAGCTCCAACCCTTACAAGGTCTCTGTCCCAGAGGCTACCTAGGATGAGGATGACAACAGCCTCTGATGATTTTAATCCAAAGGAAAATGGTGGAAGTACACTGAAAAGAGCGAACAGTGCTAGAATTATCAAAAGGAACACTGACAACAGTGAGCTTCTAAGTGTTAAAGCAGAGCCGGTGCTAAAAGACCAAGTAGTACTAGAAAGATCCACATCCCTTAAATGTAAAGATGGAAATCAAACTGCAATAGGGATATTGCTGAATCATTTTTGAAAAGAAAAGTGATTCATATCATTTGGCAATATACAATGTGAAAACCAGCTCTTTCAACCTGAAATATTTCTGTTATCCCAAGCAGTAATGTTTTATTAGTAATAGTATCAATATGAGTTGAGGTACGTAATGCAAGTCCTGCTATAAGTCTAGACTGAATGTGTTCAAAACTACTGCGATGGAATAGCCGTAACAAAGTTCCCTTGCTTCAGGGAGGAAGTACCACTACATGAATGTTACATGCTAATGAGGCTTCCCCAGCCTGGTGCCCCTAGATGAGTTAGACTGCAACTCACATGATCCCCGGCCAGCATGGGGCACTCTTGCTGGGAAGATTAGAGTTATGGTTAATGCATCTGGGGAGGCCTCAGGCTGGAGAAGGCTGTGCTAAAGGAGTGCTTTTGGCTAGAGAAAAGAAAGAAAAAAGATTTAGGGATTATGGCCAGTTGTTGCATAACTGCTGCTTTTCGGAAACTGCAGTCCTGAACTCCTTTTGTAAAAGTAGACGTGGATCATTGGAATTCTTTGGGTCCAAGAATAAATTGTGTCTGTTGCGCAGGGTCCATTGCTGGCAATTGGACACATGGAACCTCTGGCCCACAAAATGGTAAACTGGGACACTGCTGTTTTGCGGGGACAGTGGCTTGTTATCTCATCTGAAGAATTTAGAGCATGTCTTAGTTGTATGCGTGTTTGTAGGAAGGGGGAAACTCTGCTGGGCAGAATGTTTATTCTCCATGAGTGTGGCAGAACTGCCTTGCATGTCCAAGTAGAATAGTCAAGGGAATGACTGGTGCTGGAAGAGAGTAGGGTTAGCTGAAGGCCTGGCTTTCAGAAACCAGAGTGGTAGTAGAGAAATGACTGCAGGTGACTTGACTTGTGTGAGTCATGTGCAAACTTGCCAGCATTTGGTATACAGAAGTGCCACATTTATAATACATATAGCAGATGTTGCAGCTTGAAACCTGTGAGGGCTGCAACCTCTGGCAGAGCACTTTTCCTGCCAAGTCTCGTTTCCACTGGTTTTTAACTACTGTCAAATAACCTGAAATGCTGCTATGGCTCTAGTTAGGGAGAGTCCTTGGTGTTCCTTCTGCCGCCTCCTTTCCTTGTCAAAATGACCAGTAGGCAAGACACATGCAAGTTCCTTTTATGCATGACAAAAGGCTCTCTTGTCTGTCCTTCCTTCCTTTTTTTAAAAAATGTAAATTAAGCTTAAATCGCTTCAGGTATGGATTTTAACACTACTTTTTAAACGTCACTTTTTGATAAGCTTTTAAAATAAATAATTCACTTCAGAAAATACGACACCAGGTCGGGCTGATACCAAGAATGAGGGAAAATGTGCCTCTACCTGTTCTGCCCACCCCTTGGTCCATGTCCAAGTAAATATATATAGGTAGGGAAAACTGGCTGTTGCTCTTGGTCCTCATTATTTAAATCGTGTTCATTTATGAAAAACATTTTTAAAACATGCACTGGAAATATTTGGCCTTTAGTATTCTCATTTTTTCTTCCTTTCTATAATGTCGGTGCATCAGTCACACCAAACCTATTCGTCCAGATGTGACAATTAACAACAAACTTGACTTAACCATTTCAGCTCATGGCCTTAACTCTTTTTCCATTCTAGAAATGGTTTTGAGAAATTCCTGCCTAGCAAATGTGTCAAAGTGCCATCAAGTGTGCTATTGGGCCTTCCAGTCAGGTCACCAACTCAGAGTGATGGCTGTCTTAACTCCCTCTTGTAGTAAAGTATCATGGATGGAATTTGTTGCTTTTGGTTTATAAGCTTCTTGAATTACCTTCCCTCCATTGGATAAATGCAGTAATCTGACCATTGGGTCCTATCTGTATCTTTTTGTGTGTGCTCATCTGCGAAAGCAGGTGGTGGATTTTATTACCTTTTGATGGTAGCAAGCTTGAAAAAAAGAAAATAATTTAAATGTTACATGTTTGGAAGCTGTAAGTAAATTTCTATATATTAAGTATGTGCAAAATGAACTGGATGTATTTAATGGACCATTTATACATTTCTGAGTTTATCTTGCTAGTTGAATAAAGTGCCCATTTATGGGGGTTTGTGCTACGTGTTTCCATTCTTCCACTGTAATTTTGCTTTCATTTTTGGTGAAGTCCCATGTTGTAGCACATCATCCTTGGTGCTCTTTATAAGGAATTCATAGATGTTTAGGCTGTCTGAGGATTGTGTTGGAGTATTTGGGGGCCCAGCTCTGAGGTCCTGCAACCTCCAGGCTGGGAGTTTAAAGTCTGAGCCTTCCCCCTTGCAGCAGGTGCAGAAAGACCCACACCAGCCACCTCCCAGAACTGGGCCTCAGAAACCATGAAAATGGGTGCAGAGGGGAGGAAGCTGGGGCAGAATCATCCATCTAGAGAAAATAAACAGTGCAAGGCATGGCAGTAGCAGAGGTCACGGCCACGTCTTGCCTTGTGCATTGGGTACACATAAGCCCCCAAGCTTGGGACTGAGCCCAAAGAAGCTTTAAAATGCTGGCTTAATGACACATGCCCATTGAATAATTAAGCCTTTTTGAAATTAAGTTTCAACCTCCAAAGATTTAACTCAGACATCTGTCATCTCATGCTAGAGGAATAGCTGTGCTGGTTCCACCCAACTTCTTGTTCCCAGCATCCTGTTTCACTGGGTAGATAAAAATCAGTGATCTAAAAAATAAATAAAAACCAGCCTTTTAAAAATTTAAATGGTATTTTTACTTAAGTCAGATTTTATTTTGTTTAAATTGGATTGTTTTTAATAAAATGCTTTTTGAGGAACAATATATCTAAAGGTAGTTTTCTATCAGTCCAAAGGTTATTCCTCATGAATTAAGGATTTGTTTCTAATTCTGTAGCATGAGGCTGTCTATCCACTGCCTGCCTATTGTAGATGGACAGTTCAGCCTTGGGCCAAACAGATGATGGCTAAGAATCTAGGGAAGCCATTTGGAAGCAGTGAGCACATCTGGATTTTTGGGAGTGTTGAAGATGCTCTCACAAAATGGCTATCGGGGGGATCAACTAGGAAGGAAATCAGTAAGAAAAGAAGCAACTTGTCCAAGAACTTAAATTCACAATAGAGGTGGAGATCTAGACTCCAAAACCATAAAAAACCCTTTGAATCCAATTTGCTGGTCCAAGATCCATTTTATAGAAGGCAAACAGATGTGGTCCTCGGCCAAGAAACTGAAAACAGCAGAGGTAGGTTCTAAGTTCCAAATGCCAAATCACAGCATTTCCTTCACAAAAAACACAGAAAGCAAATCTCTGATGCTTAGAAATCATGAAACACATGTATATATGCAGAGAAACCCTCAGGTAAAACACAGCTGTCCCCAAATCCAGACAAAACACAATATTCAACACACACACCTCTCTCTCTCTCTGACAACACTTCCTCCTAGTCCCACAGGACACCCTCTGATACCCTGTCCAGCTACCCAGAATGCACTGGGCTCCATTTCTAAGAATACCTGTGAGGCATAACTGAAAATAATGATGGTACTGAGGGCCAGTGAATGGTTTGAAGGCTTCCAGCCTCCCAATATAATGTGTGCGTGCGGGCGGGTGCGCACACGCATGTGGAAAATACCTTTAAATAGTGTTTTAAGTCAGGTTGTCAGGGAGCTTGATGGAAGCAAAGGTAAGTGTTGGTAGACATAGCAGACCCTTTCGAATTGGAACTTGAGAATTTGCGTTCTAGCGGGATTAGATTTCAGTCAAATTATGCCTTTTGAATGACAAATGTGGGTACAAATCATTTGAGTTGGTGAAAAGCTTTCAGGTCCTTCAATGAAAACAGATGGTGCTTGCTTTTTGAATAAGATGTGTTCTGAAATTGATATACTTGCTTTGCTGCCAGGAACTGACAGCAGAGAGTAGATAAATAGATCAAGGTATGTGTTCAGTAATTTGGGGTGCAAATCTGTGCATGTTTAGGTAGAAAAAAGGCCAGTGCCTCCCAGCATACCCCAGCCAGTCATGCAGGTTGGGGCATGCTGGGAATTTTAGGCCTTCTTTAAAGCAAGATCTGGGGACAGTAATTACGTAAGAGAGACTGAGAATTATACAGGGCACTGAAGTCCTAGTCCACAAATCAATTCCTAAACTTTTGCAACTTTAATTAAATCTTTATAGACATGAGGATTAGACATGAATTTTTTTAAAAAAGCTGTGATTGTTAGAATGCCAAATCCTCTACCAGACGCTGTGCAGAATATCATATTCCATTCTTTGAAGCATCATACATAAACAGTCTTGCAGAGGTTGCTAGATTCTGGCATTATTGACTCTTGAATATTTAAACACCAACAAGTCTGAATCTGCTCTTGCTTTTATTCCTATCAGCTTAACACGTTTTGATTGGGTTATCTCACTTCATAATTTCAAGGAGTTTGGCAGAGAACGAAGGACTTAGTTGGGGACAGGACAGATGAGGCAGGTGGCAGTAGTTCAAACACTTTGTTCAAAATCGGAATAATCAAAAGTACAGATTAAAAACGCCTTAGCCAGCCATGCACAATACAGCAACACAAAGCAGTAGAGCCAGCAGAATCGGAACCTGTGGAAAACCCAGCAACAAGATTAATCTCACATACAAGATTAATCTGACTGTCGCATACTGCAACAGTCAGATACTTTCTCCCTTACAGGGTATTTATTAATAATGGAGGAAAGTACACCTCCCTATCTAGGGAACTTGGCAATCTCTTGGCTGTTGAGTATATACATTATATTCCTGAAGGGTTTCATAGAGGCATGCATTTTATTTTATTTTTTGCATTAAAATTTGCTGCCAGCAATTAAAGTTTCTTTACTGACTTTAACAATCAGTCAAATTTTCAAATGTCATGTAAAAAGCCTTTGGTGCCAGTGTTTGCATGCCAAGAAATCCAAGCCTTTCTATATTAAACAGCAACAAACAAACCTTTAACAAAGGACTTGAGGTGAAAGGTCTACATGTGGATTGCAGGGCCAACAGT